GGGGGGCACGTGCCCCCGATTCTTACGCCCCTGTATTGAATGATCATCATATTCAAGTAGCAACCATGGCGGACGTATCTCGTGTAATTCCGTGTTTGATTATATTTTATGCGTTGTATATGGGCTTTGAGCTTGGAAAACCTGTTAAATTTTGTAACGTGATCTTAAATACGAATGGGTTCATCGATTGTAATAACAGAATACATCTTAAAAGGGGAAATACAACTCGTGGTTCAAATGCTCTGCTTGGACAACAAACCGTTTATGGACCTGTTCTGGTCTCTGATTCGGATGTCGAAGTACCGCCTCATGAACGGCTGATAACTTGGTATCTCATGGCTAATTTTGCAAGAAATGATCTTGTTTGTAATACAGGGAAGGAGTATTTATCGAAATATATAGATGGTCATGAACAGAATGTATCGCCTCAATGCACTTGCTACCACGCTGAAATTTACATGTCTTTTCATGCGGTAAATATATCAAACTCTGTTGTTATAGATATGCAAGGGTGGGTTGACTACAAATTTTTTGTAGTTCGCTATAACTACAGCTACTTCAAAAATATGTAGTCAGCTACAACTACTGCTACTTTTGAACAAAAGTAGTTCGCTACTGACTACCGCTACTGCTTAAAAAATGTAGCGAACTATTTCGCTATTTCGCTACTCAATATTTTTTAATTTTACTGTATATGGAACATCTACTATAGCTCAGGCTGTAATGTAACCTATAACAAATCGACTTACGAGCAAATAAGACGGCATGCACTTGCACAGTTTGAACAGTTGCACGGCATACTTTATTCGTGCAAATTGAGTATTGATTTTAAGCAAACTGTGTCTTAATAACATTCTATTCTATCAAGTTGCTAACAATTTTAAAAAGTAGCGAATAGCGATTTGCTGTTTGAAAAGTAGTCAACTATTTGGCTACTTTTAGGCAAAATGTAGTTCGCTATAACTACAGCTACTGTTTTGAAAAAGTAGTCAAAAACTACTGGCTACTTGAAAATTGTAGTTCGCTACAGTAGCGAACTACAACTACTTCGCTACTACCCACCCTTGTAGATATGAGATATATCCTATTTTGGGATAGAAACTCTTGTATACTTTTTGTTCATACGAAGGAAAAAAGATCAAAGTGCCTTGTTAAGTACTATAGTAACCCCTTTGCTTTTCGGCGTTTGTTATTATCGGGAGACGTTGAACTAAACCCTGTTCCCTGTACGGCGTTAAACTCAAATTTAAATGAGACGCCCACGATTACGGCTAATAGCAACAATATTCCCTCTCTCGCTGCTGATCTGCCCTCTGGATTAAAATTTGTTAGCTGGAATATACAAAGTCTCAATGCTCATTTGGATCAAGTTCGCTTGACATTAAATTCTCCAAACGAAGCAAGTGTGATTGGTCTGTCCGAGACCTGGTTAAACCAAAATTTTATGAATAAAGATATTCAAATTGACGGCTATAAATTGGCTTCTCGGTTTGATCGTGTTAGCGATACTTGGGGAGGAGTTGCTATGTTGGTAAAAGAAAATATACCATTTGACGAGCGAATAGATCTCAGACATGATAATCTTGAGACAATATGGATTGAATAACCTATCCTAACTCGTCTCCAATACTTGTAGCAACAATTTATAGACCACCTAAATCACCTGTGTTGTGGTATGAACATTTTATCGACGAAAAGAAATGATCATTATGGGTGACATTAACATTGATTTCCTTAAACCTAATTCAATTCCTAAACAATGGGTAGATATTATGGAGTCGTACAACCTCACTCAACTCATAAAGGTTCCAACTAGATTTACGAATTCGTCAAAGACATGCATCGATCATATCTATGTTACTAACCCAGAGCATGTACGGGCAACTAAAGTAGCAACAATAAGAATTTCCGACCATTTTCCGGTTTGTTACTCTCGATCACATAACTCAGCGACAAGAACACATAAACATTCATTAATCAAATATAGATCATATAAGAATTTTAATCAATCAGCTTTTCTTGAAGACCTAACCTTGGTGCCATGGAACGTACGCGAATCTTTTGATGACCCAAACGATGCCTTGGACTGCTGGGAGAAACTTTTCCTGGAAGTAGTAGAAAAATATGCACCTCTGAAGGAAAGACGTGTTAAGAAACCTAAACAACCGGAATGGCTTACAGAAGAAATGCTTAAAGCTATGAACGCTAGGGACAAATTTGCCCAACTAAACGATGATCGAAATAGAAAATTATGGAGAAATAGAGCAAACAATCTTGTGAGAAATGGTAAAACTACGTATTACAAACAACTTATTAAAATTAATATTGGCAATAGTAAGAAGCTATGGAATATCATTAGAGACCTAGCCCCTGAGGAATCGAAAACTACTCCAACAACATTGAAGGATGGTGATGTAATACTTTCCAACCCACAAGATATATGTTTTTATTCAGATAAGACTTCTGATGCAGGAAAATAAGTTTGATGTACTTGCCGTATCGGAATCTTGGCTTACGGCCAGTGTGAGAAATGAAGAGGTTGAAATTTTCGAATACAGTCTATCTAGATTGGACCGGCGAGGGAGATCCGGTGGGGGGGGGGGTGCCTATATCAAGAACTCGTTGAAAAAAAGGTGCTTAGGGATTTAACAGAAATTTCAGAATCTGGTTTTCATCAGTTATGGTTACAAATTCAGCATAAAAAATTGAAATCTTTTCTATTATGCGTTTGTTACCGACCTCCAGATAGTCCTGTATCTTGTTTTACCAATAATTTTATGGATAATTATATCAAAGCACTCACTTTTGGTAAAGATATCATAATTGCTGAAGACTTAAATTGCGACTTGTTAAAGACAGCTCAAGAGGCAAAGGTTTTGAATGATTTTTGTCACTGTTTAAATTTGACACAGTTAATTGATAAACGACGAGGGTCACGTCACGTTCGTCAACGCTTATTGATGTCATGATGACTTCAAATAAAGATTTGATTGCAGAAATTGGAGTGCTTGAAACCTATATTAGTGATCATTTTCTGGTTTACTGTTCACTCAAACTAAAGTTGATAAAACCGCATCCAATTTGTATCACTGCAAGGAGTTGTAAGCATTACGACCGAAACCAATTCCTCTGTGATTTGGCATGTATTCCGTGGCATGAGAATTTATTTGTTGAAAATGTAAATGATATAAACTGTCGCATTTTGATAGTAATTTTCAAAATGCATTGGCTAGGAATGCACCAATTAAGACAATGAAAATAAGACATCGACAAGTACCATTTGTTGACGATGAGATCAAAGAACTGATGAAAAATAGAAATAGATTACACAAATTTGCTCGTCTAACCGGAATGCCAGCTAAGTGGGAGAAATATCGTGCGCTTCGAGATAAAGTTAAATGTAAGCTACGCCAAGCAGAAAAAGATTAGGTACACAATGAAATATATAATAACCCAAATATAGCATCGATGTGGAAAGTCATCAGGAATTGCGTTCCTCGTAAAGAGACCACGAAACCAAGTTATCCCGGAGATGTTAAGAAATTAGCTAATTAATTCAATACCTTTTTTACCTCAGTGGGGATAAATACATCAGCAACTGCATTGGCATTGCTTACTGAACATGGACTACCCATACTGAATCCACCAACAGCTACCGAAATACCTGAGATCGATCAGTTTTATTTCCATTCAGTATCGTGTAGTGAAATAAGTAGGGTTGTTATGTCCTTTTCATCAAATAAGGCACCAGGATTTGACAAAGTATCAATGGCTGTGATCAAGGACGCCTTACCGTACAACCTTCCTACACTTACGCAAATTGTTAATTGTTCCCTGGAAACAGGTGTTTTCCCAACAGCCTGGAAGAAAGCAGAGGTTATCCCACTTCTGAAGGAAGGGGATTATGAAATTCCGAATAATAATCGGCCCGTGTCGTTGTTAGTGGCTGCATCTAAGATCTGTGAACGCGTGGTATTGAAACAGTTAACAGAGTATATGACAAAGAGAAAAAAGTTTACTAAACATCGAAGTGGAAATAGGAAGTTACATTCAACCGAAACATTAAACATATTCATCTCAGATTTAATTCTCCAGTCCATGGATCGTAGAGAAGTGACTGCTTTACTCTTACTGGACTTGTGTAAAGCTTTTGATAGCTTAGATCATTTCATTCTGCTAAGAAAACTTTCGAATATTGGAATCTCGAAGCCTGCGTTGTTTTGGTTTAAAAGCTATTTGACAGGCAGGTGCCAATCAGTACATATAGCGTCAGTGTTATCTGATGAATGTGAAATAACTCGCGGAGTTCCGCAGGGATCGACACTGGGTCCGGTGTTATTTAATATATATATCAACGACTTGCCTGGTGTACCAAAGGAGTCCAATTTGGAGTCGTATATGGATGACTCAAAAATATATTTAGCATTCTCAATTAGGGATGCCGAGTTGGCAGCTATGAAACTCACAGAACACATACGAAGAATTACCGCTTGGTGCTGTCTTAACAGTTTGTTGGTGAATCCAGAAAAAACTAAGTTGCTTATATTAGGTACTAGGCAAATGTTAGAACAGGTACCTGAAAATTTTCAAATAACTATCCTTGGTGAGAATATTACCCCAGTTGCTGTTGCAAAGGATTTAGGGATGATATTGGACTCATGTTTGAGCTACGACGAACATATCGCAAGCGTTGTTTCACCTTGTATCGCTGGATTGGGCCAAATTAGCAGAGTTAAACATATCTTTGACAGAAAAACATTAATTCTTATTATAAATTCGCTGATTTTTAGCAAAATGTATTACTGCTCTGCTGTCTGGTCTAATACATCCCAAAGAAAAATCGAGAAGCTTCAAGCGTTCCAGAACTTTGCTGCACGTATTATTACAGGAACAAGAAAATACGATCACGTGACTCCTGTTCTGCAACAACTGGGCTGGCTTCCAGTTAAATATATGTTAAAATTAAAGCCATTGAAGCATTTGAATGCTTGAAGGGGTTGGCACCATTGTATTTGTGTGAGAAGTTCCATGTCAGGTCAGATGTTCAAAAGAACATTTTGGATATACCAATGTACAGATCAGCTGCGGGTCAACGAACATTTCACTATAGGGCTGTGTCCTTGTGGAATTCTCTGCCTCAGTCTCTTAAAAACATTGATACTTTGACTCATTTTAAAGTAGAATACAAACGTATGTTATTAAATAGATAGATAGATAGATAGATAGATAGATAGATAGATAGATAGATAGATAGATAGATAGATAGATAGATAGATAGATAGATAGATAGATAGAACGTTTAATTGAATCAATATTTACAGTCTTGTGAACAGAATTACTATTGAATTTACAAAAGTGAAAATATATGAATATATATATATATATATATATATATATATATATATATATATATATATATATATATATATATGTATATATATATATATATATATATATATATATATATATATATTTATAAATATATGTATGTATGTACCTATGTTTACATATCATGTTTTTACATATCGTATTGTCTCTAATAAAAAGTCTAAAATCTAAATGTAAATGTATGTTCATAACTATTTAAAATACTAATGATTTGAAATTACCTACAAAGTCGCATTATGTGCGCAATATGGAATAAAGGAATTACTAAATCTGTTCGTGTGCATCTTGGGAAGATTATATTTTCTGTTTGTTCTGAGATTGTTTGGTTGTGAATTTTTCGGTGGCAATAGTTTCTTTAACTTATGATCATCATTTGCTTCGAGTGATGAAAATAGTTTTACACACAACTTTTCTCTTCGATCGTACATGTTTCCAACTTTGCCTTTTTTAATGCTTCGATGTAACTCGAGTCTGGGCGGATAATCCGTAGTGCCCGCTTCTGAATACTTTCAATTTCCATTGATAGGTAGTTAGGGAGACTCGAGTGGAAGACTTGGCAAGCATACTCAACGACAGATCACAGATACACGCGGTATAAAACTTGTATAAGGATCTAGTGTCCACTTCAGCACGTTTTAATAAAGTCTCTTAGAAGCCTTTTCCACGGTATTGCTTACATGTTTGTTCCATTTCAAATCATTGGTAACTATCATGCCCAGAACTTTTGCGGATTTTACAATTTCAAATGGCTTCCCGTTTATATTTAGGGGTTCCTCAGTAAATGGTTGCGTGGTAAAGTTTATCCTCATGCCAGCTCTTTACATTTACCAGGTTCAGTTGAAATTTGTTGTCATTCGACCATTTATTTACTTCGTCCACTTTATCTGGCAGGGAACTAACACCATCTTTTGGAATAACTTCGGAAACCGAAGTATCGTCTGCAAATTTCCACAGGTTACTAGTCGGAGATTTTGTAATACATAGGTAATTTATTATTGCTAGGAATAGCCAGGGACCGATATTCGTTCCCTGTGGAATACCGGCAGGAACTTGTAAAAAATTTGAATGGACAGAGTTTATTTTAACTCTCTGAGTTCGACCACGAAGAAAGTCGGCTATCCAATTTACAACCGTTGGCTTTATTTCATAATTCGATAGTTTTGCAACAAGTAGATTGTGGTCGACTAGGTCGAAGGCTTTGCGATAATCAAGTAGAGCGACTCTTACTGTAGAGCCCGTCCCATCAAGTGCATCTAGCCAGGTATGCATCATTGAAATAAGCGCAAGAGTCGTGTTTGATCCTGGGATAAAGCCAAATTGCATTGGGTCCATCTTTGTTAGTAGTTTAGATTTTAATTCATACTCGATGATGAGGTTTTCTGCAATTTTTGACAATGTTGAAGTTAAGGATATTGGCCTCAAGTCCTTGTTAAAATCAGTAATGTTTTTGGCTTTAGGAACAGGTGGCACATCTGCTATTTTCCATACCCTCGGCACCTTGCATTCACGGAAGGATGCATTAAATAAATCAGTAATTGCAGGTGCCAGAATGTCAGAAAAGCTCTTTAGAACCCAATTGGGGAGTTCATCACGACCGCTAGCTTTGGAAACACTGATTGCACGTAGTAGCCGCTCCACTGTTGTTTCTGAGACGCTAATTGGTTCATCATTGTCAGTCGATAGGTTAAAATCTTCAGGCAGCGGGGGGAAAACTTTCATGACACTGATAAAGGCCTCGTTAATCCTATTTCCTAAATCTTCATCACTGTCCTCAACGTCAAATTTAATCATGGATCTGAGGTCTGGCCGTGTTGATTCCTGACCACAGAGCTGTTTTACCTCTCGCCACCAGTCTTTAGGTTTCGAATCCAGGAGGTTGCTAACTTTTTTCTTATAGTATACTTTACGACAACGTTTTCTTTCCCGATTTACTTTGTTTCGCAGCAATTTAAACACGAAATTGTTACCTACGGCAAATGCTTTTTGTCTTTGTAAAATAAGGCGTTTCAAATGGCTAGTCATCCACGGACGATCATTTGGGTTTACTTTAATTGATCTTTCTGGCATTATGGTATTTAAACCATAATTTATTATTTCTGTAAATGTTGTTAGTTTATCATCAGAAGATCGCAGAGGTGACAATATATTTTCCCACGAGATATTTAACAGGAAACGCCCAAGGCTTGCAACATTGCTTGGTCTTTTATCCCGTACTTTTATAGTCGTTTTTTGGGGTCGTAAATTGACACGTTTTGCTGGAATCATAGTGATCGTGACATGGTCAGATAAACCAAACGGTGGACCACTTTCTGCTGAATTATAAAAGTTTTTAAAGGTGATCTACAGTCCGATCTGCGCATGTGCACAAATTAGCCCACTTTTTATGATACAAACAGTTTAACTATGTTTTGAGTTCTTGAAAAGCCGGATTGTTGTTTCTTGATCATTTATTATACTCTAGAAGCTTGAAAATATAAATAGTTGTCGAATAAAGTTCAATATTTTGGACACAAAAATGTAAACAAAGGCTTTGTTTACATACGGACTGTAGATCACCTTTAAGATTTGATATAGCAGGTTTTAAGTTAAAAAGTTTCGCCGTTGATTTAGAATCGAGTTGGTTGAAATCACCAGCCAGAACTATGCCACTGTTTGGATAATGTGTTTCAATTATTTCCAGTGATGATTTAAGGTGTTCCTTCATTGCTGTGTTATTCGCCCCTGGCGGGTGATAAAGCACACCTGCAATAGTATTTGAAAAACCTCGAGGTAAACGTTTTGGTCGTAGTATGCACCACAGAACTTCATAATCCTCCTTATGTAGTATGGACAAAGTTTTACTCTCAATAGTGTTCTTCACATACAAGCACACACCGCCATGCTGCTTATTTTTGCGATCTAATCTAAATAGTTGATAACCAGAAATAGCAATTGGGTCATCTGCGATTGAATCTTTCAACCATGTTTCAGTAAAGAAGCCTACTTGAATATCTTTCTGTTGTATAGTAAACGCTATTTCATCAGTTTTGGGGGTCAATGACATTGTATTCGAAAGTAATAGTGTTGGAACAAATTGAGAATTATCGTTGGGTTTCACTTGACTCTTATTCGTATTTGTTGTATGTTTGGTGAGTGGAACAGTTATTAAATTTCTAAATGTGCGTAGGGGGGAGGTCTCGTGACTCAATAAACGAAGGGTCGTAGGCGAAGGGGGTAGGTTGGTTGATGTACTACACGAGGTGAATATATTGGGATGTCCATTAAAGGTTTTGGCCACGGGTAGTTTGACCATGGTATCATGGGGTAGTTTGGGGGGACTTGCCAGTTGTAATTTGGGGTCATTTTCCTTTGCTGCTGGGATAAAAAAGGACTAGGATAGTTCATGTTAGGCCTTTGAGTCGACGGAATATTTGAGGTATCACTATGTGAAAAATCGCATTGGTCTCCTTTCAAGCAAAACCCTCTCCTTTGTAGAAAGGGACAACGTATTCTGTATTTAGGCATATTATCCCATGGCTTTTTTGGGTGCAGATGTTGTGGGTGTTTAAAATCACAGTTTTGCTTCTTAATACACCAGCCCCGCGGCGAGAGAAAAGGGCAAGGAATATTGCTTTTAGGAATCTGCTCATTAGACGGCTGTGTTTGCAATCTTGTAATAGGTATTCTATTTCTATGCGCATTAATAATGCCTTGTTGTTTACTCGGGGGTGCATCTTTGGTGTATGCTAATAAGGGGCTCGTTAATTGATCTACAATTACAGTGGCGTTTGTCAAATTATCATGTTGATCTTCATCATTGGACGGAGGAATTTCAATAATAGTTGAGCTTAACTGATTCTTATTCATAATAGTGGGTAACTCGTTGGTCAAGCAAAAGGAATCATCCATTGTATTAAATACATTATTATCCTGGCTAGGTTCTTTGTTCTTAGAGTTGTTAGGAATTTTTGGGCTCCACCACGCTCAAGGGATAATAATTTTGTCTTAATTTATTGAATTTCCTCATTGAGTTTGCAGATTACTTCGTCTTTTTTATTTATAATGGCCTCCATGTCCTTCTGTTTAACACGAAGTGAGTTAATATCGTCAGACTTAGACTCTTGTTGGGAAATTGAAGCAAATAAACGGGACTCTAAAATCGTCATATCGAGTTTTACACCCTCCAGTTCAGCGATTATATCACTGTTAGAAGAATTTTTAACTGAAAGTGGTGTTTAACAGATTTATAGAATATTTTAGAACTATACCTTAGGTCAAAACTCAAAATTCATTTTTAGATACTTTTATAGATATAGAATGTCATATTTGTAATTAGATCCTGAAAAGCCCAATTAGTAGTAGTCTAAGTATCTAATATTGTATAATAATAATAATAATATGTAATAGTTTTAATGAATTCTTCGCACAAATCGGAAAGTGCGATTGCTAGCAGTCTTCCCAATTCCCAAAACGAAACAAGCGATGTGCTTGCGGACTTCATAAATAAACACATTGAAGTAAATTCAACATTTAATATTCCAAAGGTGTCTATCGATTTCGTGAGAGAAGAACTTAATAAATTGGATGACGCAAAATCTACGGGACTTGATGGAATTTCTCCAAAGTTATTACGTTTGGGTGCGACCGCTATAGCCCCTTCTGTTACCTGGATTTTAAATTTGTCTATTACTACTTCTACGTTCCCAGATGACTGGAAAGTCGCTAAAGTCGTATAAATTCATAAACAAGGAAGTGTCCAGGAGCGAAATAATTTTAGACCCATCTCAATTTTACCTACACTATCGAAACTACTTGAAAGACATGTGCATATTTCGTTCTACAAATTTTTAAAGTCAAACAACCTGCTGCACAAAGTTCAATCCGGTTTTCGAAATTTCCTGTGAAACAGCTATTACCTACATGATTGACAAGTGGGCTAAAGCGATAAATGAAGGATATATGAACGGAGTCGTCGTTTTAGATCTCCGTAAAGCTTTCGATCTAATTGATCATGTACAACTCACTAGTCTTACCTCACTTTACCTATTGCTCCAACGTGTGGAATGACGGCAGTCGTACACATACAGACAAGCTTTTAAAAATGCAAAAACGAGCGGCTAGAATTATCACAGGGTCAACTTACGAAGTAAGATCGAAAGATATATTTAATATCTTACACTGGGAACCAATTGAAACCACTCTTAAGAAAAGAGAAATGATAATGACATTTAAAGCCTTACAAGGACAACTGCCAGAATGTATGACCAACTTCTTTAAAATTTGCCTAAATGATATGTACCCATTAAGAAGTAATAACTGTAAACTTTATTTGGAAAAACCTAAAACAGACTTCTTGAAGAATTCGTTTTCATATCGAGGTGCGGCATCATGGAACAATCTTCCAAATGATGTTACCAACAACTACAAAGTGCTCTCCATAAGTAACTTCAAAACTTTAATCAACAACTATTTCACCAATTTGGAGAGGAATAGTGTATGGCAACCACTTGTGGTGCGGATTTTGATTCGAAGGAGTCATTTTTTGGGTCTGGGAGGGTTAACATAACATACTATTTCTAGTTATATATGTGAGTCATTCTAATTTATATATAGTGTTCATTGCATGGGCTTTCTTTTTTACACAGTTAGTATGTACAATAGATTTTTCATATTTGTAATTATTCTAACGGCCCCTTGAAAAGCAGTTTAATCTGAAGGGCTACCGTTTTTAAATAAGATGAATAATAATAATAGTATCTTGCTACAAAAGCTACGAATGTATAAATGCAGTACAAATTCTGTAAATTGGTTTTCATCGTACCTGCAAAACAGATATCAAAGTACATCTGTTAATGGTAAATATCTTCCAAACTACCTATGACGAAAGGGGTTCCTCAGGGATCTATTCTGGGCCCCTTGCTTTTTATTGTCTTTATTAATGATCTGCCACTGTCTATCCCACATGGTGACATAGATATGTACGCGGATGATTCTACCATTACGACATCTGCGAAAACCATAAACCAACTCAATGAAAACTTAAATCAAGCTATGGATGAGGTCTCAAATTGGTGTAATGACAACAAAATGATGCCAAATACAGACAAAACGAAGTGTATGCTCATAACATCCTGGCAAAAACGGCTTCATATACCACAAAATGAAGATCTGTGTGTAAGCCTTAACGATATAGCGCTGGAAAACGTTACTTCAAAACCGTTACTTGGCGTCACTATGAATCATAATCTGTCCTGGGCGAATCATATAAACACCACTGTTTCAAAGATAAATAGGAGTATAGCTCTACTTCGTAGAATTAAACGATATTTACCGCTACAGACACGGAAACTGTTCTTTAATGCGCACATTCTTCCACACATGGATTATTGTTCCATTGTTTGGGGTGGTTCACCTCATGTTAAGAAGATTAATTTAGCTCAAAAAAGAGCAGCCAGGGTAATTTTAGACATCACGGATAATCGTTACCCCAGTAAAGACATGTTTTTAACATTAAACTGGATGCCTATCGAGGATCGTATTAAGTACCGTAAAGCTATTATGTACCGTAAAGCTATTAAAAGTCTCAATTATTTATGTCCGGATTATATGACAAATATGTTTAGGTTTGTCAGACAAGTTCATACAAAGACAACCTGATCAAGCTCTGCAAATGATCTGTATTTGCCTTCAGGAAAATATAAACAGATATATACAAATACGTTTGGATACAGTAGTGTAAAGATATGGAACACATTAAGTTCAAACATTAGAGAAAGTGTGTCTCTAAACTTTTTAACAAATTATTTTTTAACTAGTAACTAATAATATTTCACTCTATTGTAAATAAGTTCAACTCATATTTTTAACTAAAATAGCGAGGGCCCTGGGGAAGATAAGTCTTTTGACTTACCAGGTATATTAGGTATGTAATATTTTTAACCTTCTGTAAATAAAGTTTATTGATTGATTGATTGATTGATTGATATTTTAAGTTTCACGCCAGTTGTACCAAAGGTTTATGTAAGCGCTATAGCGCATGATAAGTGTCAGATGGCATGCAACATGTACTCACTGCGTACCTATTTTTCACGTTTTACAGCAACTAAGGGAAAGATTAAAAGCTCAAAATCGACTTCATTATATGGACTTTAGTACTAAACAAGTTTTAATCGCCGAAATGTTTTAAAGTATTTTTTACGTTGTTGAAAGGCGAAGTTTTCATCGGCGCGTTCATTATTACAGTCAATTTCAACTGACTTTTCACCGTAAGATTCTGAACTTCGTTCCGAACTTCGCAAATTCGTTGTCAAATTCAAAAGTTCATAATGAAATTCACAAACAGGTTAGTAAACAAAGCCTCTCATTGGCTATTAAATCAAACCAGCCAATCAAATGCCCAGTTTACAAACCTGTTTGTGAATTTTATTTTTCATTTCAGACTTTATTTCATGAGGGTAAACACTTGACAGTAAGTGTGAACTACTGATAAATTCGTGGCCCTCCTTACATAACTACAATTAAAAATTAAGCTAATACAATACTAAAACTTATAAAAACTCTAAAACTACTATACTTACAAATAAAATAACCCACCACCCACCTAAGCAATTTCTAAACGCAAGGCGGACTTCTGGTCCGTTAAAATTTTAGTATACAAACTGCGTTTAAACGTAGATATAGATTTCTGTTTGCGCAATGTAACATCGAGGGCGTTCCAATCTTTAATAGTTCTAACGGTGAAAGTGCGCCCACCTTCAGTCTCTCTAGTGTATTTTGGGCACACCATGTTCATATTATTAAAGCGAGTATTTCTAGTATGAATATCTGAGTTCCTTACTAGCATAGTGCTTAAATATTCAGGGATAACATAATCTGTATTTACTCTTTTAAAAGTTATAGATGTTCTTTTTATAAGAGATACCCTGCGAGCAGAGCCTTATTTTCGTTTCTTCGGCGAGGGGGAAAGGAGAAAATAAGGCTCTGCAGTATTCGTGTTTTGCTTCGTCCAAGATTCTGGACGAAGCAGACCTGTTTAACCAGTTTATCCGGTATTTAATGCGCGCGGCTACAGCTTGACGGTGAACCGATGACTAAATGCGAGCCAGCGACATAGCCAACAAAACGAAATGGCCGAAATCGAACTATACTTATACGAGTTTGTTGCAAATGAATCAAGTTTTGGCATTTACACACGAAAACTAAAGAGAGTTTTGTTTGAAATTTGATAACATCTTCAAAATACCTTACGTTTAATATCATTCTACAATTTCGCGCGAGCTTGCCTTGAAGTCTTGAACGGATAAGCGGATCAAACGATGGTGAATTTTGATTCGCTAGTAATAAAGGCGGACGTCTGCGAAGACAGGTCTAAAATTTCATATAGCTGTAACTAGGCAACCGACAGAGCATGCGCAATGGAAGCAAAACACGAATACTGCAGAGCCTTATTTTCTCCTTTCCCCCTCGCCGAAGAAACGAAAATAAGGCTCTGCTCGCAGGGTATATAAGAGACTGTTTCGACAAAGGCAGCCAATTTAGCTAGCTTATTAAAAAGTTCAATTGAGGGCGTTCTTTTATCAACATCTAGAATAATTCTTGCCGCCCTCTTCTGAAGTTTCAAAAGTCTTTGATGACAATTGATATTACAGCTGTCCCAGACCACACTACCGTACATGAGAGTGGGCTTGATAACGCAAGTATAAAATGTTTCTCGTTGATGTTGCTTGAGATAAGGACTGATATGTTTAAGGAATCCTAATCGTTTTGAAATCTTCTTCGCTAGTTCCTCGACATGCGTTTCATAACTCATTTTAGAATCCAAGGTAATTCCTAAAAGTTTTTTCGAGGCAACACTGCTGACATCAACGCCATCTATCTTGAGCTGCAGACATGGGTCATTCTGTGAGTCCAATTTCTTTGGTATCCTTTTTCCAGTCACAAGCATGGAGTTTGTTTTTCGTGCATTTATGAACATTTTATTTTGCAACGACCATTCATTAAGAGCATGAAGGTCACTATTTAAACCATCATTCATCGAAGAAATGTCCAAATAGTGAGCACATGCATACATAGTAGTGTCATCAGCAAACATGTCGACTGAAGAATATTGTAAATGAAGTGGTAAATCATTCACAAATAGCAGAAATAATACAGGTCCCAAGACTGAACCCTGTGGTACCCCTTTCGTCAGTGGTAAGCATTCAGACGATTTACCTTCGAGAGAAACAAATTGGTAGCGATCACAAAGGTAGGACTTAAACCAGGTCAACGCTACATCAGTCACTCTATAAAGTTCCAACTTTTTTAGGAGAATCTCATGGTTAATTACGTCAAAAGCCTTTCTAAAGTCGACAAACACCATTCCGGTAACCTCATCATGGTCCAAATTAAACAATATCTTGTCTGTCAAGTTTATCAGAGCTGAATCAGTGGAATGGCCTTCGCGAAATGCTGACTGCAGATGATACAACAACCTGTTCTCCGCAAGGTAGCTCATGAGAGATCGTGCAACGTGCTTTTCAATCAATTTTGACAGCACAGATAAAACAGATATGTCTGTAATTATCTTTGATGTCACGCACACCATCTTTGTGAAGCGGGGTTACCCGCGCAACCTTCCATTTTCTTGGGAAACACCCTTTTTCCAAGGATAGATTGAAGAC